TGCTAATTAGTACCCAGTTATCCCGAACATTTCGAAGACAAAAATACAGCTGGAGGCAATTCTGGCACCATATTTCTTCTCGGTTTCTACATTTCAGTTGAGAACACCTTCTTATTACAGTGTTTTGTCATACGAAACTTTATTCAGCTGTATCTATGACTAGTTTGTTCTGGCTCAATTTTTTTCCTATTAATCATGTTAGGCTTACTCAAGGCTTGTAGAGAGTTTTCTGTGATGGCACCGCACAGAGGTGTGTGGGATTTTTTTTCTTTAAACAGTTAGGCTCCCCCTGCACGCAGCTCAGGACTGTAATTGCGCACCCAATCAAGTCCAGTGTTAGCCCTGTATCATTTTTCAAATTTGTTAACTTTGTAGGCACTTGCTTTTCATATGTTGATTAGATTACAGAAGCCTTACAAATATTTATCAAAGACTGGCACCATCCTCATATTTGCGTTCAGAATAAACCATTGTAGTAAAACCATTCCAAGCTGGGTACTGTGTTGACATTTTTCTGCTGAAGATCTGTACACTTGAAAATTTGTGTGTTGAATTCTCTCCTACCTAGGTGGAAAATGATTTTTCATTAACTACTGATCCCTATAACAAATTTTTCATCTTAAAATCCACTGACAAGCAGTTATTCTCAAGTTCCACTTTTTCCTCAGATGTTGTCATTAGCCACGATTTTCTTGAGTTGTACTATTTTTTTTTCAGCTGTAACATTTGCTTTTTTAAAACATCTAATAATGAAGTACATCTTGTCTACAACATGATGATGATGAACTAGTTATTATTTTAAGAGGGTTTTAATTGTATATAGATGCCTCACAGTCCAAATGACTCCAGAAGTCTTTACCTGCTATTACATACCATTTCAATTACCTTTTAAATAATGTATTGGCATCTTACTGCAAACTTCAGGAAAACAAAATGTGTCAGTTGGTCCCCCAGTGCTTTTAAAGCTGTTCAGCTAGACTCCCTTGAGATGTTGTTGTAAAATCTACAATGCACAGTTATGAATTTTACATCTTTTTAGCATTCATGGCTAGACCGTTAATGAGGGAATAAATAGCAGAATTTTATTTAATCCCACACGTTGCTTAACATGAATTATTAAGCAAGGGACACACAGCCTTTCTGTCCCCTTTGGCAGGGGAGTAGTGCTGTACCCTGTAGTGCTCTGGATGCAACATCCTTTCTTCCAGATAGATGTGCAATGTCCATCCACAGATAAACACGGATGTACTGTGGATCTAAATCGCTGTTTACCTGCAAGAAATAAAACTGGAGGAAAAAACAGAGTGATGTGCACCTCTTCTAACTTGAAATTTCTTCAGTGTAACTGTTTACGTGAAAGCGAGTAGGCTGTCTTGTATCGGTGGAGAGAAATAAATATTTTGGGGCACAATTTATTTGACCAAAGACAGATACTTACTGTGGAATGAGATAACGATCCAGAGTACATCAAGAGAAATGCTTATTTATTTTCATTGGCGTCAGATGTAGACATGTCTACTTGGTCAAAAAAATTCTGCCCTTTATGCCCAGGCTATGCACTTAACAGACAATTTATCATCGCTGGGCTGTAATATCAGTTCTGTCATCCTTACTAGTCTCACTTATTCAGTGAGACTATTTACATATTAAAGTATTACTCAGCATGAGTAATGGTGCCAGCACTGCAAGTAGAGAGAAGTTTCCATTAGCACTAAACCTTATCTCGGAAAAATCACTGGAGACTGGCACTTCCCAGAGGTTCTGCTTTCTTTTGATTATCCTCCTTTCTTCTAATAATTGACTCCAAGCAGTTCAGCTTCTGTTATTTGGTGGAACAGAATCTGTCTTTTTCAGAGATTTATTCATGAAGTTACTAGAAAGTCTGTGCTTGGGTATCAGATTGTCTGTGTAGATCGCAAGCAAGTAGATTATTGGAGAGTTGAGGGAGTTAGGGATAATGTCATGGGATATGGGAGAGTGTGGCTGAAGGTAATGCAGTGGTGGAGGGGGCCCTAGATGAGACCCAGAAGAACGAAGAGAGGGGAGAACTAGGTAAGACTGGGATACTTCAATAAATAGAAAGTGGATATACAATCTAATGAGGAGAAACTCAGCTAAAATTTCTAATGGCCTATCCACTTACTTGAGCTGGACACCCCATTCTGATTTGCAGAGGGTTTGTGATGAGTAAACTTATTTAATTCTCTCCTCTGAAACTAGAAAAGAAGAAACATGATTTCAGTTAGATTATATTCAGTTTGTATTTGGTTTGGCATGACAATTTTACCCTTGGATGAAAAAAAATTAGGATCTTTTATCATATGATATGTCCTCTTCTGTGCTCCATTTGGGACCTCTGCCACTGACAGTTCTGCACTACCGTGGCAATCTGGTACTGCTGGGATCTTCCCTAATAAAAACCTGGCTTTTAACTGAGCCTAACTCAAATCCCCAGCCAGACAACCATAAGAAGGTGATCAGGACATGAAAAAGAAACCACAGAAACCCAGCTTCTGGACTTTGTCCCATGGCCGTGAGGTGGTCAGATTTTGCTCTAATACCAGCATGAAGGTACAAAATCTAGAAAGTCAATAGAAACAAATCACTTAAAGTGAATGTACACGTAGACCCCAAGCATTCACATCCACTTGAATTCTAGGTTAAGAATATTTTTCTCCAAAATATGGAATGTTTATTGAGATAGGAAAATGTCTGCATCACTATGTAAATCATTACTATACAGTTCCTTATGAGCGTATGAATAATCATCAGATCTGTATATATTGTCTGTGTGCAAGCAGAGGTCAGTAAAGGATTGACTTATATCGACTGCATTTATTTTAATAGAATTCTTCAATTCTAATCCCCTTAATAATAACGTATTACTGTACTGTTTAGCCTCCCAGCTCACTCTGGTTCCTCAGATTATATTTTAACAGCATCTTATCTCATTTCTTAACAGTATTCCACTGGCTCCTTGACTACTGAACTTCCTTACTATATATTAGCTATACCTAAAACATCATTTTGCATGTCAAAACAATTGTGCATGCTGTGTGGAGCCTCAGCAAAAGTAATAAGGTAGATGAGCTTCTCTCAAGTTCACCTACTGTTGAAGGAGTCCAGATTTACCTGTTTTACACCTTCAAAACCCTGTATGCAGCCATGTTGAACTCAGTGTTAAGAAAGAAATAGAACTTTGTTGGCTAGCATTTCTGCTCTTCACATGATACTCCTTAATTCATACATTGTGTAGCAAAAAGGAAACCTTGCAATCCCTTGTCTAGCCTCGAGCGTAAACCTACCCAGATTTAATTTCTACTTGAACTTGAGTCTTTGAGGGAGAAGGACTCTTAACCCTCTGTGACAGAGAGTTCACCACAAACACTGAGGAGCTACTCCAGCTGTTTCAGCAGCCTTACTACTAAAGTACGTGCCTATTTGTAGATTAGAATTTGTCTAGTTCCTTCTCGCAGCCATTAGATCTGATTACATCCTTGTCTGCTGGCCTGAAGAGTCCACTGCCAAAACTATACTCCCTTCAGAGGCACTGCAGACCATGATCAAATCACTCCAGTAACTTACCTGTCCTGAACTCCTAGGTCTTCCACAGTAAAGCTTATTTTGACTGCAGCAGAATGCAATTACTCTTCTCAGACACTCCAAGCCTGAATTTCGTTGCAGAGTCATAAAGCATGGTTTGTTCATAGTGACAATATTTAATTTCAGTATTAATTAATCATTCCTCTTCTGTAGCCCCATTCTTTTCTCAGGAAGGAAAGGAGAAGCCCTTTCCTTCGATAGTTTGCAATCAGGCTCTCTCAATTTATGCCACAGAAGACTTGTGGCTGGCAGGTGCTTTGTATAGCTTCTGTGAGCTCACTAGAGGGAAGGCTTGCCTCAACATACATCACAGTTCAGCTGCCTAAAGCCAAAGGAGGTTCCTACCCAAATTTTGGTGACAGTACCATACAGGTTGTTGAAAAGGATGAACTTGAGATGCTTCAAATGGTGCTTCATGGTAGGCCTAAACAGAAAAATAACTGAGCTCAGTGAAGGTACTGCTAATTAGCACCACCATGCAAGAAGAACTGCTAGTTTATTCTCTAAATGGGAACATGGCTCTTGTACCAGATTAAAGACTGATAGTGCTATTCTTTTACACAGGCAAAATATCCATTGTAAGTATAACCACTGAGATGCCACTTCACGGCGGTAGCAGCCATGAGAGTTTTGCTTGTGCGAGGAATGCCTGATTAGGTACCAAATCAGTTCTGTTCCTTAGCCACCAGAAATCATACAAAATAACAATGGGAATTCAATAGAGAGTAGCAAAACCAATTCAGAATCTATACCAATACCGTGGCCTGCACCATACTGTAGGTGCATGTAGCACTAAGGTAGAGGACTGGGATTTAAAGGGCAAAGCCCCTTCCTGCCCTGCAGTCGGTCTGTGCGGCAGACCCACGGACACTGTGCTGTGTCAGTCACAGCCCGCCGGGGATGTCAGAGGACGGGAAAACCGTGGTGCAGCTCCCGCCCAAGGAGCGATGGGAAGAGCTGCCGGGCAGTCGCAGAGCAGCCAGCTGCCCTAACCCTGTGCGCGCCATGCGTGAATTCAGCAGTGCTCATGACTCTTGGGAAAACCACCCCGCAGCCCCGTTGCCAACAAATGTTGGCAGTAAATAAATAATATTAAAGTAAAAACGTTTCCAGGATGGTTAATGAGCTACGGAACAAAGTTAGGTGGGAATTTACCCCTCCCTGGCAGCATTAAGGAGATAATGCAATAAATGATTTGTACCTTTGTTCATCAGGAACACTTTGCAGTAATACAGGAGGTTTTCTATAGTGGAAATTAGGATTTTGTTTAAATACAAGCTGTTTGTTGCTAAAGGTTTTTCTTTTTTTTCATTAAGTCTTAAATTTGCAGGATTAAAATCTGCAGATAACACACTGAACTACCCTTCTTAGGTCTACTTTTTCTCTTGATTACTTAGATCCCTATGTGAAGATCCATCTGATGCAGAATGGTAAGAGGCTGAAGAAGAAAAAGACTACGATTAAAAAGAACACTCTGAATCCCTACTACAACGAGTCTTTCAGCTTTGAAGTACCATTCGAGCAAATTCAGGTAATATGTCAAACAGTGTTTTGTCTTCCCTCTGCATTCCATTTCTCAGATCTTATAAATATTTAACAGGAATCTTGTTAATTATCACGTGTGCATGCCTTCATTAGCACCTAGGTGCCAGCCCTGTGCTACATTAGATGAGTGTGACTGCTTCAAGAGGGAAATGATAAAATGCACAGTACTTAGGAAGCTTTGATTCATCAGTGAGAAATGGATAACTGACATTTTCTGTTAACAGAAATGGATTCTAAAAAAAAAAAAAACAATCCACAGGGAGATAGCGAAGGAATGTGCCAGCAAAAAAGTATAGGGATAAAAGAAAAGGCGTATATAGCAATTTTCCCCCAATGATTTGAACGCATTTGTGTTCCCTGTCCATTTATTGGTCCTGTTTGTTGAAAGTACTACAGCATCCCTCTTAAGTAAAACACATAATTCAGGGGTTTTTTTCAGTTATTCACTACACCGTGAAAACTTTTTGGTGATTCCTATGCTCCTTGGAAAAAGACATTTGAGAATCTCAGGAGTCAGTACTGCATTGCCTATTTTCTTGGCACCTCAGGGGAGCTCCAGAAGTTGTCCGGGTGCTACTCCTGGAGAGTCCAGCACCTAAAATTAGGGGCCTCAGAAGTCAGCACAGTGAACTGGAAGTCACCTACATTAGCAGTGGAAAATACCAGGACAAGACATCATGTCATTTTTTTCAGGGACTCAGTTACCTACCTCTGGGCTACTGGGAGGCAAATCATCTCTCACTCATAAGAGTGAGTTTTATCATGTTCTGATGTTAACTAACCTTTTCTCACAAGAGAGAAGGTCGTCTTAACCATCTCAGGAGGCATGTGGGAAACCCACATCCAATTTGCTCCCCTCCCTAAGTCAATTTTAACCTCTATTGTCAGTATCTTAGGCAAATACTCTTGTTGCCTGTGCCTGTGGCTTGTTTTGGGAGTGCAACATCACTTCTGCATATATAATAAGTATATGATTGGCCACAGAGCATCAGATCACCTGTTAGTTGGGTGGTTTGCTTGGAAAGAGAGAGTCTTTGGTCTCTGGTCTTATCTAGGTAATGTAAACCACAAACAGATCAGTTGGTACAGGCCTCCTCCATTTCTGTTAAGCCTTTACCATTAGTGTTAAACCGTTATGTTCTTTTGCTGACTTGTTAGAGCATTCATTGGCAGGGGAAGATGTACTGATTTAAATATCCTCAGAAAAGAACTGCATGTTGGCTTCCCACCCACCCCGGGGAGCTCTGTGGAGAATTTAAGCAAGACTGTAGGTTTTCTGGGTGGAGCTGAGTGTGGGAAGTGTACTTTCAGGGACCTCCCCGTTTGAATGACCACAATTAAAACAGTCTGGGAATACATCGTTTTGTGGCTTGTAAACAAAACTCCCAGGCAATATGGACATGCAGACACCTCTTGATTAGATGAGAGCATGGTACGGGGTTTGAGGCTCTGTGTCTTGGATTTTGATAGCAACTGTACTGGAGAGAAGCCCAGGAGCCAAGGCCTAACATTTCAACTAAAGCTGTGTGGTTGGTTTTTATTGACTTCGTACCAACAAGGATAGTAAAACTAGACAAGGTAAGGCACTAGAAGTAGTGACTTGGATGCACGACTAGCCCGTTCAGGAGTTTCTTCATGCCCCACAGCACGTACAGGTGTCTGTGGACTCTAGGAATCAAAAAGGGGAAAATCCAGTGGGGCCTAATTCCCATTGATTTTAATGAAAGCCGGTCTGTGTTCTTGTGAAAAAAAATCTCATGACAAGCATCAAAGACCCAAAGGCAAAAAAAAAAGATCCATCAAATCGAGCCTCTCTGGCAATTTAGGCAGCGAATGTCTTGATTTTCAAATAGGGACAGGACTGGGGAGCTGGAATGAGCACCTCCAAGTTATCAGGTCCGAGCTTTGGCATGGTTAGGTACGTTCTGTAGGTACTTGGCCGTTTTGCCTTCTAATCCTAAGTCAGCTTTGTAAAGGGCATATAGGCCCTTTAAAAAGTATTGCAGTTTAGCACTTTAATATTTTGAACTTTTTTGGATAATTTTATTAGAGTGAGTTTATAGCTATTTACTTCAGTATATAGCCTCAATTTAAATTCTGTAATTATGGACTTTGGTCATACGCCAATGTATTTTGGAGTTAGTTATAAAAGACTATATTTAGAGGTGATTTCATTATGGTTACTGAAGCAATTTCATCATTAGCGAAACACACTTTAAATGTTATTTAGACTTAATATGGTAAGAATCACTGTGACTTTGGGGTAATTCATGTAAAAGTCATTAAGCAAACTTTCACAGTCAAATAAAAAAAAAATAATGGTTATACAAGTTTCACAGTGGTTAGAGAGTGAAGACAAGGGAAAGTAAGCAGCTCAATAGCAGCATACCCATGTAATTTAAAATGGGCCAAACACTAACATTTTCAACAATTTAATAGTGAATATGGATTCTAGCTCCTAAGGGAAAGAAAGTGATGTCTTGAAAGGTAATGGGAGAACACCACTAGGAAGTCAAATCCTGTTGCTACAGGCAGATCAAGCATGTGTTCTGCTGTTTTCAAGACAGATTGCCTCTGTAGGTAGCAATGTCTCCAGGCCGTTTCAGTCCAAGGAGTGCCTAATCACAATGAGGAAACTGCTAATCCAAGTGTTTTTAGCAGAGGTGGTGCTTTCTACTAGCACCTGTTGGGTTTTGCAGTGCAGCTCTTCCTTTAATGTATAGTACAAAGGCAAAGAGATGCTCACATTTCTCTGTAGGGTTAAGTCAGAGACCATGAGGTGAAAATCATCTCAGAGTTAATCATCTGAGCTAGCTGTTCTTACATCTTTATAGAGCAAGGAAAAGGGTCTTTTGTTTATAGTGGTCATTGTTGTCTTATGATTAACACCAAAAAAAATCCAATAGTAACTAGCCCCCAAGCTTCTAGGTGCAGCGGCAACTTTTTTTTGTACCGTAAAATAATAGCCTCATGCTTACTTTTTATCTCTGTGATCGTACCATGCATCTAAAACACAAATGTTCATATGGGGAGGTACTATCAACATTAAAAGTGAGTATATTGCAAACGGCAGCACTGAAACATCATTTTGGTATCTAGAAATACTTGCTTTGGGATATTGCCTTTTATTGTGAGTGCTCTGGGGAGAGAGAGTCTTGAGTTTGATGTACACTTTTGTCATCAGCAACTATATAAATGCGTTAGTGCCTGTTGGAATCATCTCTTTCTCTGGCTCAGTGAATTGTACAATCTTGTAAGGGAATGGACTCTATAAAATAGACCTCATGAGTCTGGTCTTGCAGATATGCTTAAAAGCGTCAGTTACTTTTAAAAGATAATCCTATTACAAGTACTGAAATTAATCATTCTAGTAAGAAATCCAGATTGTACATATATTCAAAGCCTTAAATTTAAAAACCTGATGCTTGAGAATAAAAGATTTTTCTGGAAGAAATATGTTTCAGGGCATTTCTTCCTCCAGTTCGGGAAACTTGCACTGGAATACGGGGCTGTGTGTATTTACCATGGGATAGAAAGGAATCAGGAAAAGAACTGTATGTTCATCTTTAAAAATAAAGCTCCCTAAGGAGAAGCGTTTACAGTTTAGTAAAACCAGCCCAAGGCTGTTAACGCCTTAGGTGCTGTTGGGGAGGAACACCACTCCACTGAAGGAATAGCTGTTTGTGCTCTTTTGATGAGTATTAATGACCTGATGGAGAGGAATGCAGGCATGTGCACGCAAACGCATACGCAAATGCCTGGCTTGAACATCACCTCCCAGTGTGCCCCAGTCTAAATGAGTGGAAAATTGTCTATGAGCTGTGACAGGTGAGCTCGCGCAGATTTTGTGGGAATAGTTTAACCCCGTTTGCCAAAGGTCACCGTTCCTACAGCGGAAGTGACACTCCAACACCCGCTCAGTCGCAGGCAGCGCCGGTGTGTCATAGTCCCGAGCCAATGGGGTTTATACTTCTTTCCAGCTCCCTTGAGCATGCAGCTGCTTTTCTTGACTCCTATATAAATTTATATAATACACACAGTACATACATACTTGAGTGCACACACGTACACACACAGAGAGATGAGTCCACGTGCATATATGTATATAGCGACTGTAAGGGCTATGTTCAGAATTTATTTGAAAATAACTGATTAGCATGCATGATGGATGGCTAAGAGTTGTTTAGAAGCAGAAAAGCAATTAACAGAATAGAGTATGAGATTGCTAACCTTAACTTGGCATAGAGCCGTTTCTGAATTTTACCTAATTTTTACTAATTTACTTAAAGAATAATGATGCGTTAAATTGCACTACGTTTGACTTAGCTTACCTTAAGATCTCACTTTTATCCCTACAAACTTCTAGTAGTCTGATTCTTTAGTAACAACAACAACAAAAATCCATAGTTTATTAATCTGTTAAAGGAAAAAAAAAATCAACTTCAATTCACGTATGAAGCTCTTTGATGAAAAGGGGCAAATGTCGAGTTAGCAGGGAGGTTGTGAACTTAATTTTATTTGGAAGGCTCACAAGAAGCAAAGACAAAAGTTTGAATTTGGTTCTGGCTGGGGGAACCTGCTCTGGCTCTCACACACTTACCCCCTTCATGTACGTGGATTCTCCATCGTCATCGACTGTCCTGAGATTTATCCCTGCCCACCTTCCCCCCGCTATCACGCTCACTGGTCTCTCTCTATCTCGTTGTAGAAAGTGCAAATTGTTGTGACTGTTTTGGACTATGACAAGATTGGCAAGAACGATGCCATCGGGAAAGTCTTTGTGGGCTACAACAGCACCGGAGCGGAGCTGCGGCATTGGTCAGACATGTTGGCCAACCCCCGGCGGCCCATTGCACAGTGGCACACCTTACAGCCCGAGGAGGAGGTAGATGCCATGCTGGCAGTCAAGAAGTAAATTAAATTAAATTAAATTAAATTATGAAGAAGAAAAAGAAGAAGAAGAAGAAGCCTTTCTGCATTTGCCCACATAGTGCTCTTTAGCCAGTATCTGTAAATACCTCAGTAATATGGGTCCTTTCATTTCCAGCCATGTGTTCCTGACAGAGATCAGTTGTACTTTTAAATTCCCATTTTAATTTGCACAAATTTAAATGTAGAGAGCCCTCTAAAGGCGCTTCATTTCACCACTGCCCCCCCATCTACTCTTCTTTTAAGCAATATGATGTGTAGATAGAGCATGACAGAAATTATTTATTGTATCACACAGTTGTATATATACACCAGTATGCTGAGAATTTATTTCTAGTTTGTGTATTTGTATGTTGTAAGCGTTTCCTAATCTGTGTATATCTAGATGTTTTTAATAAGATGTTCTATTTTAAATTATGTAAATTGACTGAGATATAGGAGAGCTGATAATATATTATAGGGTAACTATTGTATCGTCTGCATTCCAGAAAAAAAATTCCAACTTGTAAGGCACTAGTAGTGTTACACTGACATCTTAAAGGACAACTTAAATCTGAGCTTTCAACTGGACCATCCTAATAACACGCTACGCGTCCACAGTGAATCTTGAAGGGGCAAATCCGATTGGGTAGACTTCTTTCACAGGCAACTTAGCATGATCTGAGCAGCTCCATGGCTGACCTCAAGGAGACGTAGCCAGAAGCCAGGATATAATTTTTTTGTATATATTCCAAAGCAAACACATAACAGACTGAAATGGCTTTAGATTGAAAGTTGAGGAAGCAGTTCCATAGGAGGCAACGGTTTCATCTAACACAAAAAGACCATTGCAGAGGTTGTGCAGGGAGGGGGGGAAGGGAGGGGGGAGACGCAGCAGTAGTGAAATGCTGCCATGAAAACAAGAGTAGCTCTCCGTTATCACCTTTATACAAAATTTGCATACTGTGAATTCCATCCACGATTTCACATTATAATGAGTTTGCACATTAGACTTTGTAACAAAATATTTTATTATACTAACTCAGATTAGAAGGAATGCAGAATATTTTTTAGACACAGCCGTGTGAGTTTATTATACAAAATAGTTTCATGGTAAACAGACAGTATTGTAATCCCATCAGAAGATGACAAAATTTAGCCATAGTTCTAAATGCACTTCAAAGTAAGCCAAAAGAGAACAGCTAGTGACCTTTTATATACTATTTATACTTAAGTTTTAATTTGTCCTTTAAAAAAAAAGTGAAAACAAAGAACAAGTTCTAGAAAACTGAAGCAACCTCTTCTGTATACTAGATGCTCGTTTCAGGAGGAGTTTTTAAATGTTTTCAATGTTACTATGTAGTAAATGGCACTATTATGAAGCTATTAGTCATTCCATAAGAGTCTTGAAAGACTGCTCTGTGTATCACTGTGACTGCCGTGTGTGCTTAGAAATGTAGTTTTCTCAGTGGATAGCAATCAATTTATTCCGTAGTGATATTGTAATAATACTGCCATTCCCTTCTACTGCACTGCCGAAGGAATGCATAGCACAAGCAGTTCTAGTTATGACGGACCAATTTAGAACTGGAGGGCTATGCAGGGGACAAGGATGCTATATTGAATGGGTTGACCACGCAGCATTTTGTCAAGCCCTGTGCAATACTCTACATTTCCAACCTCCCTCTCCCTCACCCTCTGCCGCTTTACTGTAGATAGTCATCTGATGGCTAGCCAGCATGTCATCTCAGCTTGTACCATCTCATCAAGTCATTTAGGGCATCACTTCTATCTCATGTACCGTCCTTTGAGGCCCCTTGCTTATCTTTCCAAGCTGTGAATATATTTATAATGCTTTGAAGAGTCCATCATTTTCAGCCATGCAAACTACCCCAGAAATGTGGAAACGCTATACCTTTTGGAGGGAGGCATGAGAAGTTAACCATTAATGTTCTTATCAATTGTATCTAAAAGAAATTACGGAAAACAAAGAACAGAGATGAATGTAATCAGAGAACTGTGTACTGAAAACTAAATTCCACAGTCTCCCTCGAGGTTCTGCTTCTGGGAGAGGCGTGACAGTCTGAGAGGTCAGTGCAGCAATGGCCGAGCACCGTTTTCAGTACACTGCAGGGTAAAAGAAGTAGCAAAGCAGTGGGAGGAGAATAAAAGCCTGGATCTCTCCCCACCTCCAAAAGTGAGAATAGCAAGACCCATTTTCTTTCTTTTTTTACATGAAACACGGGAAAAACACAAGTGAGACATTTTCTGATAGAAACAGGCACGCATACATGCAAAGCATCAAGCTGGAATACTTTAAAATATTACCCTTAAGGACCAAACCCCACCAAAGAGAAGAAGTAGACAGTCAGCTTTCCAGCATAAGAGCTTCATGGTCTCCAACTTTCAGTTGCTCATTCAGGATAGCTGCAGGTTCAAACTGCCAGGACTGACTCATTGTGTTAAGGTATTCTTAATGTTTTCTCTTCCTACACTGCCAGACTGAACGTCACCGTAGAACTGGTTTGTAAGGTACGATGATTCTCAGAGACTGAACCTGCCATGTGACCAAGATGACATTTTCATCCTCAAAGAAGCCACATGTACCTTTCTGACAAAGCTGTGTGAAGTATTAGAATCTGATGCTGTAGAAAGATCCTAGTTGCCTTTGTGTATATTTACTGCCTGCTTGAGTGTTTCTCTGTGTGGGTTTTCTCTGTATCTTGTAGAAATGTTTGGGGTGTTTTATCCTGCCATATCGCTCGTGGCCCGCGAGCTGACAACTTTAGCCGTATTTTACCTTCATTTTTGATGAGGTGGTTTATATTTTGTTTCACTTTGTGTAGTGACTTCCCACAGTAGAGTTTTCCAATTGTCGTTAAAATAACATACATATTACACAGATATTCAATAAAAATGTTTTATTTCCTGTTGATGTTCTAGTGTTTCTCTTTTAATCTAAAGTTTGGAAAAGACATTTCGCTCTAGGACTTTAGCACAATCATAAACTTTGAAGTATTGCAAGTGCAATAGCACAGCACTTTTTGAGGGGCTGTGAAAAGCTGCTTTCATCGGTGTGGTCCGCTGTAAGACGGTCACAGCCAGCACGGCTCCAGTAGATGAATTCTCTACCTCTATTGCAGATGAAGAACTATTACCCTGTTTTCCCAAGGAGCCTGATAATTTACCTCCAAAACCATCATTCTCTATCAAAACACAGACTAGTTTCTATTCCACAACAAAAACTTCAAGTAGTTACCTACCATCAGTACTCTTTAAGCCAACTCTGTTAGAGCCGTGGTTGAAGTTTTCATTTGGAGAGAGATGGTATATTTTAACCTGCCTTCAAGAGCTACTTCTAAGCTGGCCATAAAATCAAGCCTCTTGTAGGCTAAAGATCGTTAAATAAGAGCTTAAACTGTATAGGGGGGAAAAGGTGTGGGAGGAAGTGAATCCTCAAACAAAAAATATTGGAAAACATTGTGCTATGAAACAATTTAAGTTCCTGAACCTATGAGGAGAAACATATCAAAAACCCAACAAAAAACCCAAAACTGGTACCCATATTTGTTTTATGTAGCCATTTTCCATAGCAATCCCCACCACCCTTCCTTTTTCCCCAGTCTCAGGAGAAATCTGCCCATTCCTTTCAGGAACCACACTGTGGTAATTACTGATATGCACCAGTTTAACCACAGCCCTTGCTTACACGAGGCCTTACTACAAGTTAGAGCTCATTGTAAATATTTTCAGGGTTTACCCTATTCCAACTGCTTAGAAAGTGCCCTCTTTTCTCCCAGCTATTTTTTTCTCATCTAGACCCAATGAGCACCAAAGGGACTGATGCCACTCTCAGCGAGCGAGAGCAGGCCGACATCTCCTGGTGGGCCTGGTGATTTGGAGAGCAGTTACTCTTCCAAAACTGTGAATGACTGGAATCTGTGTTTGTGGCTTTACAGATCTGCTGTGAGGTGATGCCTGCTTGGTCTGCAGGAGCTGAGGTAACACTCCTGTGGTGCAATGTAGTTCCCCATAGAACTACACATCTCATACCTCCACAACTACACGTTGTGGAGGTATGAGATAATGCTGCTCCCTTCTTCGCCATCTAAGTTGTTGCATGATCAGAGCAAGCACGTATTTCCCTATGAGGAGTAGTTTGCTTAAGAGCAGACCCAAATCTATCAAAGTCAATAAATAAAAATACTTTGATCCAGGTTCTAAATGCACCAGCCATTCTTGCAGATCTTGAGAATACCAAAATGATTTGTCAATCAAAAACAGTTCTTCCAACAGGGCTAATCAGTTAAAGCCAGTCGTTACAATTAATGTAAGGAAAAATGCTTCATATAATAGCTGTTGTACTAAGTGGGAAAAAGCAGCAAAAATTACCAATTTTATTCAGCTCATTTAACCCCTAATCAACTGTCAAGAAAAACATTCTTCCCAACTGACAGACTGTTACCAAAGCAAAAGATCTACGTCTCTCGATCACTTTTCACATCATGAGTCAATGAAAATTAATTGCCTGTTAGTTATGCAAAGCAAGAATTAGAACATTATATTTTCTGATTACTGTAACAGTCAATTCCCTTATTTATTTATGCATTAGCATTTTCACTCCAGGCTGCCAGTTCAGTTTCTTATACACATACTGACCTGCTTTTCAGAACATATATCTACCAAATACCTACCAAATTCATGTCCAGCCCCTGTTTTCAGTGTCAGTTCAGACACTGTTGTTCATCCAGGCATTAAAGATAGTAGGGAAAAGGGGGTTTCTATACATACCACAAGAACTTTTACCCAGTCTTAGTTACATTTACCTTACATGCACTAAATCTTTTTATATTCTATATAGACAGTACTTTTAATATCGCACTAAAAAGTAGTTCCAAAAGTATGTGACAAACTAATACAGAGAAGACTAACTCTGTGTGGTACTTACTGACTGACACCTGCAGCAATATTTTCAGACACAAGAGCCATACGAAGAGATTTCAAGATTATGCTGTATTCAACATAAAATTCTACAAACTAGGGAATGATCTAGACATCCTTAATGGAGCATCTGAAGAGGCCAAATAGGTTGGGGAAGTGAAGACTGTTCTTCCAGGCTTTTGGGGTGAAGGTGGAGGGGGCAGGTGGCAGAGTCCTTTTATTCTCTGCATGCACTTTGCAATAGCATACTGAGATTTTGAACAGCCGTTTCAACCAAAAAAAACCCCAAACCAAAAGAAAAGAGTTTCATCTTCTGATAGAACCAATCTCATCAGTTTGACAGCTCACATTTAATTTCAGTCAACCATTTCATATCTTTGTACACTCTCTTATTACTTACAACAAGGAAAGCACACAGTAGGCGATCCACTGATGTTATGCACCAACTGGAGCCGGCATCAGTTTTTCTCATAAAAGAGCAATGCACAAAAGTGGCAAAATACTCTCTGCTCTGCTAATCACGATTATCCCACAAGCTAGCACAAACCTCCCAAATTTTGCTCTCATTCTTCCAGAGCCCAGGGAGCTCTCCTTGTATTTATTGTATTCACATACTTGTATCTTAGCCTAGAAGATTTCATTACTCTTTCCTAAGAAGCCGCAGCGCCCACTGGCACCAAGAGGTAGTTCCAAAACCCTGACATGGATCTGTCATTGAAGAGGTCCAGATTGGGCTTAGGCTATATTTGTCTTCTCCCTTGGACCATTCATCACAAGGAGGAGGATCTCTGGCTGTAAATCCTGATTGAAAGCCTGACAGGTTGGAACCTGGAATGCAACGCTGAAGTCAATTATTTTGCACTTAGTCAGAAATGTTATCATCCACTCATTCTGTGAAAGACAGGCTCTGAGGCTCAGTAACTTGCATCCTGCTCAAGATGATAGGTTTTTTTCTTCATGAAACTGGCAATATTATTAAACCATTTTTTTTAGATAGTTTCTGTGACTTTCACAGAGTCAAACAGCTTTCATATATTTTCTTTCTTTCCTGTACAAGGTTGTCCCTATTGTTCACCTCACTCAAGAATTTCTAAGCCAATTCTTCAATGTTAATAATAAGTGGCTAAATTGTTTAATTGGCTTTAATTTCTTGCTTCACCAAACTTCTTAGAGTTTCGCTCACTTCTCTATAACCACGCACCATGATCTGACAGTGATTGATACAGAAAAGCCCTGATGGAAGGCTATCAAGGAGATTAAGTAATCATAGAGTGACTCACAGAGTCTTTTTCATGGATTAAAAGAAGATT